TGAGATAACGTTTTAATTCTATGGAAAAAAACTGTTTTATTGTCATTTTTCATTATTCGTAACTATGTGAATTGTCAAGGTAATTAATTGATCAATTGAAGTAGACGTCACGGGCGAAGTTGATCATGTCGGCGCGGATTGTGTTTGTGTGTGTGTGTGCGTGTGGGTGCGTGCATGCGTGTGTGCAATAACAGAAAATAAAGACCAGCATTAAAACCAGTAAACACACACACACACACAGCTGATATGAAACCTTGTCTACATTTCGAATAAAATAATACCACCAGCAACAACATCATCGCCATTCCAATCAATATTTGGCGTCTAGACTAACACTACTACTTACTATGCGGAGAAAAAAAAATATTCTTCACCTTTCTGTTATTTTAAAATTGATTAGAAAATGTTTGGTTTTTTTTAAAACAACAAAAATCTCATTGTCTACTGGAATGCTTCATTTTCAATGTGAGCCTTAATGACAAGAATGAACATGGATGCATGACTATACATGTTCAATGTTCCAATTGACTATTCATCTAGGTGTGTGTGTGTGTGGGTGCGTGCGTTTGCTTGTGTTTGAGAAAGAGAAAGATGAGACCAGTCAGAATAAATCATTCAATCCAGTTGACTAAATCAAAGTAGGACGAAACTAGGTTTCAGATTTTTGAAAGCATGAATCGATCAATGTTAGACCACCATTAGAAGAGACCTGGAAGCACTGAAAGACGGCCGGTTCGTCCTGGTATGGGACTACTCATCAGTGGCAGTGCGCATCCACGATTCCTGCACCCCGCAGGATTCGAACCCAGGAACGAACGCCTAACCATCGGACCATTGAGCCGGTATTTAACAGTGTTAATGTCTAACTCGATCAATTCACTAGGTTTCATAAATTACACTTGTCATTACACAGTTGTGAAGATTGAGACACCATCAGAAAAAACTTACTGTAGGGAGAACAAACTAGATTCCAGATGAGCAAGAAATCAGGAAGTGCTGGAAGTGGGTTTGACAAACACTGGAGACAGCACCCAACTGGATCACAAGACAAGCCCTGTCTTGGAACCCTCAAAGTCAAAGGAACGGAGGAAGGCCAAGAAACATATTACGCTGAGAAATGGAGACAGACGCACGACGAATGAGCAAAAGTTGGACGGAACTGGAAATGGAAGCCCAGGAAAGAGTAGGTTAGAGAATACTGGTCGGAAGTCAATGCTCCACTTGGGGGTAACAGGAGTAAGTTAGTACGTGTTGAAAAATTGGAAACACTGAAAGGTAGTTTCGTCCTAAGATGGGACTCATTAGTAGTGCCGAGGTCACGATGCCCACCCGCAGTAATCGACATACTCATAATCAATCTGATTACGTAAATGGTCATTAGAAATAAAACTTGTTAAATGTTGATAATATTCCCAATGGGGGGGATGGGTAAGTGGGCAAGCACCTATTACGAAAAGTCCATAAGAATAACTCTTCGTGGTTAGTTTAAAGTCAAGGAAAGACCAAATTGTGTGAAATCGAGATTACGGTATATACGAAATTCTTTCGCATAGCCGAGCATAGGAAGAAACTATTTTCCCTCTCCAAATGCTATCATATAACCAAGCCAATATAACCACTACCAATGAAACCCCTACTCACCGACTTTTTCATAGGACCAAAATTGACTGTTCAGTGCCTAAACCAAAAAGTTGAAAAATCCTTATTCGAAAACACTAATACATACTGGCTTCAGGGTATTCACGGAACAAATAACGTATGAAGCTTTCGATGGTCATCAAATATCATGGAACTACATATTCCGATGCATGCCACTGCCTTGTGTACCAGACCCTTAATTAAAAAGAACATGTTTCGGCCTAGGAATCTCGACAACAACATTCCATAGCGCGTTTGTACACACATGCACATTCAATAATTGTGTAACGTATAAATAGATGGTGTCAGGCAAGGTTGCTTACTCTCACCCTTTCTCTTTCTCCTGGATTATGAAGACGTCAACATCTGGAGGGAAGCACGTTATCAACTGGACAGACAGAATGCAGCTGGACGATTTGGACTCCGCAGATGATCTGGCTCTTCTATCGCACACGCAACAACAAATGCAAGAGAAGACAGCCAGTGTAGCAGAAGCCTCTGCAGAACTAGGTCTCAACATACATAAAGGAAAAAGCAAGATTCTCCGATGCAACACAACATGCACCAACCAAATCACTCTTGATGCAGATAGATGCCTTGGAGGACGTTAACACCTTTACATATCTGGGCAGCATCACCGACAATCAAGGTGGATCCGATGCAGATGTGAGGGCGCGGATTGGCAAAGCAAGGGCTGCATTTCTACAGTTGAAAAATATCTGGAACTCCAAACAACTTTCAACCAAATCCAAAATCAGGATTTTCAATACAAATGTCAAGACAGTTCTACTGTATGGAGCGGAAACTTGGAGAAGAACTACCAAAGCCATCATCCAGAAGATACAAGTAATTATGAACAGCTGTCTTCGCAAAATACTTCAGATTCGTTGGCCAGACACCATCAGCAACAACAAACTGTGGGAGAGAACAAACGAGATTCTTTTAGTGGAGGAGGAGATCAGGAAGAAGCAGTGGAAGTGGATAGGACACACACTACGAAAAGCACCTAACTGCGTCACAAGACAAGTCCTCACATGGAACCCTCAAGGCAAAAGGAAAAGAGGCAAGCCAAAGAACACACTCCACCGAGAAATAGAGGAAGATATGAGAGGAATGAACAAACATTGGACAGAACTGGAGAAGGAGAGGCCCAGGACGGACAGAGTTGGTTGGAGAAAACTGGTGGGCGGCAGCCTATGCTCCATTGGTGGGTGGGTAACAGGCTTAAGTAAGTAAGTATAAATAGATATTTCGATTTAAATAAATCATATTCTATTAATATCTTTTATTATTTTTACATACAAATGAATAATTGATTACGAAACAATGTCACACCCTAAGTGTATACATATTTTATCATGTTCAATGATGAAGATTTTTTTTTCAAAAACATACTTCAACATTGAACAAAGTATCAAACAAGTCGGTTTTTGTTAGTTAGTTAGTTAGTTAGTGTTGGTTAGTTGGTTATAATAATAGTAACAGTAGCAGCAGTTGGTAATTGTTCTGTTAATAACACATTTATTTTTCATGATAATCAATGATGGTAGTAGTTACTACTAACTAGCTAAGAAAAACACCAGGATATTGTTGTATCCAACTTAATTATTTCTTATTATTCGCATAGATAATGAATTTTTTAAGTAATATAAGTAAGTAAGTAAGTAAGTAAGTAAGTAAGGAACGAAGGAAGGCAGGCATCTAACACTGACTTCATCATGCAGGTTGGTATGTATGTACAGTGAGTGATACATATCTGTATACATATAACTGTATATCATCTGTATAACACCAAGACAATGTGTGTGTGTGAGATAGAGAGAACAACTAGACACAGGACGAGGTCAATTTACCGATTGAAGAGAATTTTCGTATCAGCTTTGTTCACACACGCACACACACACACACAGACAAACAAGCAATAAAAATTTTCTGTCTTCTTTATTTGTGATTGACATTTTCTCAAAAAGTAATAATCATCATAATAATAATAATGATGTTACAAATTTTCACATTACATTTTAATATGCTTGTTTAAATGTTTGTCAGATATTTTTAGTGAGAACAGAAATAACTAACTAACTCATATCTGAATGAGATTTACCATTTGACTGGTGGAAACTAGTGGAAACTTGAAAGAATTGAACGATAGTTGGATAGGTGTAGTATAGGTACAGAGACCTTTACATAATAATAACTGGGCAGCATCAGTCAGTTAGCCGTCAGTCAGTTACTGCGGAGAACTTCGTACGTAAGTACATCAGTTCAGGTTGTCATATTGTGGTGCGAGCTACTTATAAGTAGTATATGACGTGAGTGTCAACGTAATGTCTGACAGGCAGAAGATGAGGGAAGATCAAGAAAGGAAGAGTTAGAAGAACACAATGGAATTTGTATGAAACGCATGAATTGATGTTTTGCAACAGGAACAGTCCAGTTCGATATGATGAACTGATACTTTGCAAATGAACGATTTACGATATGGTTTTCCGATTTTAACGAGTTATTCTGTAATTTTCGTTAAATACAATTCGGTTGCCCTCACCTGTGTTCTCATTCACTACAATATCATATTAGTATAGAAACGTAATTGTCAGTTCATAGCCCATAGTTGTAGAGATAGTAGAAGTATTAGCAGTAATGGAGAAGATTAGGGTTCGAAGATATTATTCAAGAAGTATAATTCAGTGAAATAAATTCAGAAAGATACAGGTGATGAGGAATTCAGAAGATTACAATTTGACAGAACACAAAGAATGGATACACCTGAGCCATTGCAAACAATTTTGAGCCATGTCATTCAAACAAAGTCTCTAACCATCGGTAACTGTGGTTAGAGAATCAGCATCAGGAATAAAGAAGGTGGAACTGATACCGATGTAAGGAAATGGATTCGCAAAGTCAGGGCAGTATTTCTACAATTGAAGAATATCTACAACTCAAAACACAACTATCAACCGACACCAAAGTCACCATTTTCCATACGAACATCAAAACTGTTCCATTGTATGGAGCGGGAACGTGGAGAACTACGAAAGTCATCACCCCAAAATGAGCACGGGGTCCAAGGGAAAAAACGAGGTACACTATGGAATACACACTGTGTCGAAAATTTGAAATAGACATGAAACGAACGCACACTAATTGGATAGAATTGGAAAGGATAGTAAAGGATAGAGTAAGAGTTTGAAGAATGTTGGTCAGCAGCGGCCTATGCTCCATTTCAAAGGGGGGGGGGCAGGTAACACACATAGCAAGTATTATTCTAGTTTATACTGTCAGTAAGGTGTTATGTAATAAATCTATTTTTAAACACAAATATCATGTTGATGTTGCGTTGTGTAACAGACAAGTTGCAATATTTACCAGGAGGCGTTTAAAGGCAAATAAAAACTCACCTAAAAAAATCAATAAGTACACAGAATACCAATCATATAACCAACCACATAAAGTTTTCACAAGTTCTATGCGAAAACTTGATTGAAAGTATGAATCGATCAAAGTTCAGTCAGTCAGTCAGTCAGTCAGATGCAACGTAGAACATCGTACGTAAGTACATCAGTTCATGTTGCCATATCACATCAGCACAGAGATATAATTGTCAATTCAAATCCAATAGTAGTAGAGGTAGTAAGGCTACTAGAAGTAATCGGAGAGGTTAGGATTAGAAGATATTATTCAAGAAGTATGATTCAGTGAGAAAAGTTTAGAAAGACAAAACTAGAGGTGTTGAAGAATCCAGAAAATTAGGATTTGAGAGAGAACATAAAGAATAAATGCGCTGGCGCCATTGCAAACGGTTTTGAGCCATGTCATTCAGGCTGTCTAACCATCGATTATTACCATCTCGCGGACCCCAACCAGGTGTAGTCGACACCTACCAACATGATCAATGTTAAATGACCACCATTAGGAAACATGGACATCCCAGTGTGTGTAACCATATAACCTCGCAACGACCAGGAATCGAACCCCTCAGCGTCATGAGCGTGAACACTTAACCTCCAGCCCGATGAACCGGTGGCAGCCTGTCAATCCAAATTTCTAATGCTTGTCTAACATTGATCGATGTCAAATTTTTAAAAAGTTCCGTTCTTACTGTGAAAAAAATAGAAAATCGAAACTACTACACAGAGCCTACGCGATTCTCCATAAGGAGTAACCAGCGTAAGAAATTAAGTAGGTAAATAAGTAGTATAGTGTCGTCATCAGAAAAAACAATATATAAACAATACATTCATTAACAAATTTCAATTCAATAAACCAAAAAAAAAAAAAACTTACCCGATCTAATTTTAATCGTTTAATCGGTAATAAATTCTCATTGAAACTAGATTGATTATTGATTATTGTTGTCATGGGCTCATCATCAATTTTGATTGCAAATTCATACGGATCAATTGGTTGATTAGTTTCAGCATTAGAAATAGTACAATTGTTCGTCGTCGTCGTAGTAGTAGTAGTAGTGGCAGTGGCAGTGTTCGCATTTACACTTGTCACATGGGTACGTCCACTACGTTGAGTGATTTTCAACGATGTTCCACTGAGTTGTGATACAGTTGTAGTGTTGTTGACATTTAAAGTAGACGGTGATGATGAAGAGGATGACGACGATGACGATGAGGAGGAGGTGGATGACGAGGAAGACGAAGATGAACAACAGGACGATGAATTCGTGTGTTTTTTACTTGTTTTATGACGACGTGTTTTGGCATTTTTCGATGTTACTATACTGTCAACAATCTTTTTACAACTATTACTCAACGAATCATTGTTAGTATGATCCGACGAATTCAATGGTGGTTGTTCGCTCAGTTTACTTGACATATATCCAACTGATGTAGCATTGGTAGTAGTCGGTGTAGAGTTTGTATTACTACCACTAACACTACTATTACTACTACTACTACGTGTACATGTTGTCTCTGATCGATTGTATGGACGTTTGTTCTTAACTTTCATGTCTTCTGTAAGTGTGTGTGGATGTGTGGATTCGGCGTATATATGTCAATTGGTCAATAAAAAAAAACGATTCACAAACTAAATATAATCCACGATCGATTTTATTTTATAGGCATCCGTTTTTAATAATGACAATGATAAACTATATTCCACAAAATTTGACAATAATAATAATAATAATAGTGACAAATGATGGCGGGAAGAATTTATTTTGAAAAAATACACCACACTAGTAGTTAGTTAATTAGTTATCCTCCAATGCACAAATAAATCATTCTCAAATTAATCAATGTGCGATCGTGTGTTTAATTTGAGCGCGTGTGATTTAAACCAGGGTAGAATGTTGCAGATTATATATACATATATATACATATATATTGTTAAATGATCAATTCGTTTGATTAATTTATAATTCCAAAAAATTTAATTATCCACATTAAATGATGATGAAGATGATGCTGGCGACGGTGTTTGTGTGTTGATTTTAAAACAACCGATGTTTAAATGCCTCTCCATTTTTTTTTCCAATGACTGATGATGATGATGATCGCCGCCATATTTAAGTTAAAAATTGAACGGGGCAAGCAGATGATTGGTTCATGTTTAATTGACCAATCAGAGGCAAGTTGTCACAAAATGTTTATATTGTAGTCGTTTTTTATTATTATTTTTTAAAAAGTAGAAAACGCGAACGCCCTTGTTTGGCTTCTTTTTTTAAAAAAAATTAAAAATAAAATTATTCAGGGTGTGAATTCTATTTTTTTTTTACACGAATAATAAAAAATAATGAAGAAAATATTTTTTTTCAAATTCATAATGTTTCTTTGTGTTTGGTGTTGTTTTTGGTGGCGTACAAACACACTCACACACACACAGCGGAGAGAGAGAGAGAGACAAACACAAATATAAATACACACTAAACAGTAGTTTATGTTGGATAAAAATGATAGGTAACCTGATGTGAACAATCAGAGATAGTTATTTATGCATTCAGTCATTAAAAATATATATGTATATCACGTTTATGGTATTGTGATGCGAGCTACTTATAAGTAGTATATGACGTGAGTGTCAACGTAATGTCTGGCAACCGATGATGGAAGATCAAGAAAGGAAGAGTTAGAAGAACACAATGGAATTTGTATGAAACGCATGAATAGTGAGTGACAATGCATTGATGTTGTTTGCAACAGGAACGGTCCAGTTCGATGTGATGAACTGATATTTTGCAAATGAATGATTTACGATATGGTTGTCCGATTTTACTGAGTGATTCTGTAATTGTCGTTAAATACAATTCGGTTGCTCCACCTGTGTTCTCGTTCACTACGGTATGATTCGTTTGGTTTTATTGGTATTTTTCGCTATGAAAAATTAGTTTAACGAATAAAGGTTGTTAGTTGATGGTTAACATAGAAAATTATTCTGTAATTTATCGAGTGTATGTATGTTTTAAATCATTACTTACTTACTTACTTACTTACTCCAACCAACTCTGTCATGGGCTTCCCTCTCCAGTTCTGTCCAATGTTTGTTCATTCTTCTCATATCTTTCTCTATTTCTCGGCGTAATGTGTTCCTTGGCCTTCCTCTTTTCCTTTTGCCTTGAGGTTTCCATGTGAGGGCTTGTCTTGTGACGCAGTTAGGTGCTTTTCGTAGTGTGTGTCCTATCCACTTCCACTGCTTCTTCCTGATCTCCTCCTCCACTAAAAGAATCTCGTTTGTTCTCTCCCACAGTTTGTTGTTGCTGATGGTGTCTGGCCAACGAATCCGAAGTATTTTGCGAAGAAAACTGTTAATAAACACTTCTATCTTCTGGATGATGACTTTAGTAGTTCTTCTCCAAGTTTCCGCTCCATACAGTACAAATGTCTTCACATTTGCATCGAAAATCGGGATTTTGGTTTTGTTCGAAAGTTGTTTGGAGTTCCAGATATTTTTCAACTGTTGAAATGCAGCCCTTGCTTTGCCAATCCGCGCCCTCACATCTGCATCGAATCCACCTTAATTGTCGATGATGCTGCCCTGTTTTAAATCATGGTCGACAGTACTCGGTTAGGAGATGAAGGATAGATTTGATTGAACATGAATGATTTTTGGCTTTAAGTTCCGTGAGTGTAGTGAAGGAGAACACAGGTTAGGACAATCGAATTGTATTTAACGAAAATTACAGAGTTACTCAGTAAAATAGGAAAACCATATTGTAAACGGTTAATTTGCAAATCTTCAATCCATCATCAATCCATTGTCTGACATTTCACTTATTCATGCGTTTCATACATATTCCATTGTGTTCTAACTCTTTTGTTCTCTTGATCTTCCCCCATCTTCTGGTGCCAGACATTACGTTTACACTCACGTCATATACTACTTATAAGTAGCGCGCACCACATGAGGAGTAATAGGATTAAGTCAGACAGATAGATATAACATAGAACTTCGTTCGTATGTACGTACATCAGTTCAGGTTGATATAACGGATTAGCACAGAGATGCAAATGTCAGTTTAAATCCAAGAGTGATAGTGATAGTAGAAGTATTAGCAATAATGGAGAAGATTATGGAGCGAAGATATGAGTCAAGAAGCATAATTGAGTTAGACAAATTTAGAAAGAGAGAAAGATAGAAGTGATGAGGAATACAGAATGTCAGGATTTGCGAGAACACAATGAATGAATGCACCTGCACGATTGCAAAAGATTCTGAGCCCTGTCATTCAACGTCTCTAACCATCAGTGACCCTAAACAGGTAGTCGACATCTAGCAACATGACACAGTCCACTTTTTCAGTGACTTCATGGATTTGTACCAGGTTTTGGTTTGGTCGCCCCTAGCTTTCTCTCAGCCTACTCCTACACCACAAAACATTGCTCGTCGAAGCAGTCGGTATTTAAGTATACGTAACACATGTCCCAATCACGTCAACTGATGAAGTTTCACTACTTCATCTATTGATATGCCATCCCTATCTAGTACTCATTTCCTAACGACAGCATAACTTATTCGGTTATCCCAGAATATACGAGCAATGCTTCGGAGACACCTGTGATCTAAGACAAGCAATCTACGAATGTCCTCTACTCTCACCGTCCATGCTTCGCATGTATCTACTAGAATGGTGCGAACTGCTGCGCAGCACACTCGTCCCTTTGTTAGTAAACGGATATCTCACCTGAGCCATAGGTGAGGCAATTGGAGCAAAAGCCAATCGAGCTTTCTGTATCCGTGTTGTTGTATCGTGGAATCTTGCTTTTCCCTTTGTGTATGTTGGGACCTACTGCTGCTCCTGGGGTTGCGGCTACAACGGTCGGCCTCTCATGCATTTGTTATTGCGTGTGCGATAGAAGAGCCCGGTAATCTGAAAAGTTCAAATCATCCAGCTGCATCCTGGCTGTCCACTGTATCCCATGTTTCCATCCAGATGTTGATGTCTTCATAATCCAGTCGATGACCAGGAGAAAGAGAAAGGGTGAGAGTAAGCAACCTTGCCTGACACCGGTCTTCACCTTGAACGAGTTTGTCAGCTGACCTCCGTGCACGACTTTTTAATTTAATCCATCATAAGAATTGCGTATGATGTTAACTATCTATTCAGACACACTGTAGTGTCGAAGAATCCTCCACAGTGTTTCCCTGTTTACACTATCAAATGCCTTCTCGTAGTCGATGAAGTTGATGTAGAGTGGTGAGTTCCATTCAATTGATTGTTCCACAATGATCCGTAATGTGGCGATTTAGTCAGTACACGATCGATCCTTACGAAATCCGGCCTGTTGATCTCGAAGTTGGACGTCTACGAAGTCCTTCATTCTGTTTAACAATACCCTGTTGAAGACTTTGCCTGGTATTGAGAGAAGAGTGATGCGTGTGTAGTTCTCACACTTGCTGAGGTAGCATTTCTTTGGTATTTTGATCAGGTACCCTTCTTTCTAATCTGATGGTACTTGTTCCTCATCCCAAATCTTCTTGAAGAGGATGTGAAGTGTTTTCGCAGTTGCTTCTACATCTGCCTTCATTGCCTCTGTTGGAATGTTGTCTGGTCCTGCTGATTTCCCACTCTTTGTCTGATGGCCATACTGATCTCAATCGTAGGTGCCCCAATATTAATTGGGAGGTCCTTGGATGCTGCTTCGATGTTGGGTGGGTTCAGTGGAGCTGGAAGTGCTCTACCCACCTACTTCGCTGTTGTTCAGTGTTACTGATTACTTTCCCTTCCTTGCTTTTCACTGGTCGTTCTTGTTTACGATAGTTCCCGGCGAGCTTCTTTGTTGTTTCGTACAATTGTCTCATGTTTCCTTCTCTTACAGCCTTTTCCGCCATCGTTGCTAGATCCCCTTGAGAGTAAGCATCCTTCTCTGTGAAATATCGTGGATTGATTTAAAACAGACGACTAAACCGCTGGATTCCGGTAAGTCTAGTGGTCAAACGGTTAAACGGTCGTGAGCAAGACCGAAAATCCTATATTCGATTCTCGAGAGAGGCAGTCGTATATGTTGCACTTCTGATGAGTCCGTTACTACGACGTAACAACTATCCATTGCTTTCAGGTTCTCTAATGCTCATCTAACAATGATCGATTCACAATGAAACTCAACAATATCTTCACAATTCTATCATGAAAATGCATAAAAAATGTATCATCTCATTTTGTTAATATTCTGTGTGGTGACATGTGAATCTCATGATACAACACTGACACGTGATCCAAATAATCAATAATCTGATATCATCCAATCGTTGTTTCTCGTTAGTTATGTAAGACTGTCTTTTCGAATAATGCAATCATCAGTACAAATGCATAGAAAATATTTGCGATGAATAATGTTAGCATAGAATGTAACCAAGATAGTTGATATTTCTGTTCAAGGGAAAAGTTCATGACAAAAATCGATATTGAAATCACTTTGCTGACAATGAAGATGATGAAGATGATACCATTAGCGATAACCTATTGTGTGAGACAGCTAACTAGATTCCAGTGGAGGAAGATATTAGTAAGAAGCGCTGGAAGTGAATTGGATACATAATGACAAAATCACGCAACTATGTCACAAGACAAGCACTTACTTGGAATCCTTAAGGCGAAAAGAGAAGAGGAACATGGAAGAACACATTAAGTCGAAAAATGGAGACAGACATCAGAAGAATGCAAAAAAATTGGACACAACTGGAAAGAAAAGGCCCAAGATGAAATAGGTTCCAGAATTCTGGTAGACAGCCTATACTCCACTGGTAGTAACAAGCATAAATTCTTTAAAGAAACTTCTAAATTCCCTGAGGTGATGTTTAAAGATAGTCAACGTGCTATTTGGCCCTTATTTGCCAGGAGTATGTATAATCTGATGAGAGAATT